AATTTTATTTTAGTTTTGTGGTATTTCTGGATAATTAAACAGATAGTAGTATTTTTAAAAACAAAACTTGAAAATGTGGTATTTTGAGGATTTTCTCTTTCTTCTATATACATTATACATAAATAAATTTGGAAATAGAATCGCATAGATACATACAGATTAGAGGGCTATTAGTTTCATAGATATGGATACATGATACATAGCAACTCATTAATAAGAGAGGTCCAAATGCCTAGTTTCATAATGATCAAAATTCAATTGGCTAGTTAGGTGCGAAGTGTGACCTAATCCAAATGCGACGTGATGGAAATAATGGTAGTGACCCCTATCCATAAATCTCAGCTTCTTGCTAAAGTCTCTACTTTATATCCTACAATGTTGTCCACAACAAATGTCAAGATTCTGAATAAGCTCATGAAATTAGTTCAACTAATAACAATGGAAAAAAAACTTGCGGTGAGAGAACAAGTCTGGATCTCTATCAGATGATCATGATACATATTGCATTTACTTCATAAACCTATAAAACTTGATCAGTTTTAAAAAAAAAAATTCGTTTCAAGAAAATCATAGATACATTTAAATAAAAATTAATCTTAATCAGTCATTAAATTCTATAATGTATTCCTCGATCATTCTAGACATCTTTGGTTTTATATCAAAATGTACTCCCACCAGTAAACTCTCTCTTTCAAAATTTTCATTCGGTGAATGAAAAAGAGCAAGCCGAAAAATAAATCAACCGGACAAATTTTGCAAGATTGATCACCATTTCGATAATCTATGAATTGGCGATGCTGGCATACACATAACAATTCACTAGTTTCAAATTACATAGTTTACAAATTTTCTTCATTGAAGTTCCCGGGATCTCTATAAATATTCGTGATACTCTAGTTTTATACTCAACCAAGAATTTAATTCGAATACAAAAAATTAAAAAACGATTTTACTCCTAACTTAATTCTTAGCTCGCACAAACTTCTTCAGCTTGAACCCTATGGCTTGGAGATTGACATGGTTAATCTTAAGCAACACTTTGACCGTATTTTAAAAAATGGACACCCAATTACAACAAAGTTTCAGATCCGTTTATAAACAAATAGACAAAGCAAAATGAAAATTTTAACAAAATTAACTATGAAATTAAAATATTACTCATATTGAAATATATATACAATATATAGAATTCCCGACACATTTGAAACATAACTTTTCTAGTTGCATGAATTCTACTTAATAGACCAAATTGTTCATTGCATAATCCTTTTTTTTTTGTCGGGCATTGCTTAATCTCATGCCGCTTCCATTTCACTTGATGTTTATGGTTAACCACTATGTATGGTTGGTATGTATTTTTATATATACTGATATTTTAAAAATGTCATATGGCCTCTATAATATTCGGATAGCAAGATAATCTTACTGTTATATGAAAGTCAAATCTCAATTTTATCATATAAACAGCGATCTTGCACTTGTGTGCTGTCAAAGGAACCTGGTAATTTAATACTATAATTTTCTTATAGTAATTTATTTTATAGGTCCTGGATCATTAGAAATATAGGAAAAACATGAACACCATTACATTCACCGAGTTTTCTTGATTCGTTTAACAAAATATTGACTTGGTAAAACGTTATCACCTCATTGGAACTAGTCGAGAATAGTCATTCAGTTCATAATAGCCTCTAAATAATAACAAAAGTGTTTCAAAACGTCATTATTTCAATTTCTAAGGTTATTAAATACTATAAATAAACAAAACTTAATAAGCTTTGTTGGAAAAAATAAAGCTAAATATTTTTCTTTAAAAAGACCACTCAATATTGAGGATTGGTCAGCTACTCTCGTGTCCTTCAAGTCTTTTTTCCACCATTATAAATTTCATACGCCATTTCAAAACTTTCTCTACTTCCTTCTTCAAAATCAACCAACGATCC